CTCGCAAATTCTTACATTTGTAGGCATCTTCTCGGTGTTGAAACCGGTCGCAATCACAACGTCCGCACAATTCACCAAGCAGCAGTGCCGTTTTTACGGGAACCAATATCTTCATTCAGCATCAACATGCAAAAAGGAGCAAATCGCTCGAGATCAACCAACATAGGGTGGTTCAAATCACCAGGCTCGATCCAAAATGGACCGTGAAAATCGACGCCCGCACGTAGCAATCTAAACTTTTCATCAAAGGTGCATTTCACAGGTCGGTTTTTTCTTGTAGAATTACAAAACGTAGTTCTCTTTTAGTAAAAAACAGGGCCAAGAAGCTTGCCAGGGTCTACGGAGGGCGGCGACCCAGACGACCAAGTCCAGCAGCGGGGCGTGTTTGGCGTTCTTATTGATAGATGGCGTCGGGAGCAGCGTATGAAGGTGCAGCCAACGTTACTAGAACCACTCAGTTGGGAAACTGCCATAGAGACAGCTCTGAAAAAGTGCCCCCAATCTGCCATCCACAACCGAGCTAATGGCGAACACAACGCCGCCATTTCTCCCGCAGCGGCCACTCGAGGAACTGCACGTTACTTCTATTATGGCTTTAATCGGCCTTTTTGTCGTCGAAACAGATACAGCTGAAGAGGTTACAGGGGTGCCACCCCCGTCTCCCCAGCGGACGCGCCGCGAATGACTACCAAAGTTAAAATGCACCTAGGTCGGGACGCGCTACCTGAAAGCACCGCTGAGGCATGGTTGTATAAAAACAATATTAATTGTTCCGCAAAACCTTGCAAAACTAAAAATTATAAAAACATCACGGGCCCTTTATTTTGTACTAGACAAAAAAATTTCACACAGAAAGAGTCTTTTCTGTTTATTTTTACGCAAAAACATGCTTTCTAAAAGCTCAAGGTGACCATAGTACAGACAAATGATAAAGATTGGCGCTGTTGTCGTATTTAGCTCGGTCTCGGTGGACGCCAGCGGCCCAGGTTTCGACGGCGAGTTTCCTAACTGAGTGTTCTAGTAACGTTGGGTGCAGGCGACCAGCGAAAGAAAGCAGACGACACGCAGGGGAAATCCGTTGGCAGCAAAAGCGCCGCCGTTATGCAGACGCGGTAGCGCCATCTATCAATACGAACGCCAAACACACCCCGCTACTGGACCCCTGTCGTCTACGTCGCTGCCCGCCGTAGACCCTAGCAAGTTTTTTGTCCTTATTTTTTACAGAAAGAGAGCTACGCCTTGTAATTTTACAAAAAAAAAAAAAAAAATGAGCTGTGAAATTCATCTTTGACGAAAAGTTTAGAGTACTACGTGCAGGCGTCAAATTTTACGGTTCATTTTAGATGGAGCCTGGAGACTTGGACCAGCCTATAGTTGAAGTGGGACGCTAGGCCCTCTACCACCCGCTATGAACCCAAGCACCGGCACAGCGTCAACAGCGCGTCCGAAGGCGTGTGCTTGCGACAGTTATGTGCTGCAAACTTGATCTTCGTCTAAACACCTCGGTGAAGGCAAAACGACTTGCACTCGTTAAAATAGACGAGCTCGACAAGCTGATCTCGTTGATCACTCCGCAGATACCGGCAGCCATGCTTGTCATAGTTTGAAACCGAAGCGGAAAGGTAATATCGGGATATTTTCGAAAACAGTAACGACTCTATCTAGATTTTTTGTTTCTTAAACAAAACTATTGTTGATGAAAATACTATTACGGCAAGGACATACAGTTTTGCAACCAGTATTTCACACGTCAATTATCTCTCCAACTAACGAGAGCCAAGAAAAAGTGCTTAATTTCATAAGCACCGGGCAGGTCTACCCTCCTTAAATATCGTGTAACGACGTAAATATTGCTGAAGCAAGTTTTTTCGTGGAATATTTACAAATAAAATCATAAAATCCATCAATAAACTTATATTTTTCACTTCAGCGCCCCTTCACGCGCATCCTTCTTCTTTTAAAAATATGTGCCCTTTATGTACATTACACATTAAGAAAACCATAAACAGTGTGTGAGTTTTGTTGTTTGCCTCCATTTCGTTCTATTCATCAACTGTTTGCATTCATTTTCAAGCCAGCCTCGGGTTTTACCGTGATGTTGAACAGATGTCCTCTCGCCTCCACTTTAAGACTGTGCGATTTAAAGACAATTTTTTTTTTTTAGACAGAAAGTGTTCAAGGTTAAAAGACTCACGTTTTCGTTTTCAAATAGGTCCGCAATCAAGCAATACGGTTACCATGACGCTGGCGAAAGTCAGGCCGTGCAAAAGCTTCATTGCTGCCCTTTAATAAAGAGAGGACGTGGGTTCAACGGTTGTGTTTGCACCAGAACGGCGCACTGCCATCCTCTCTTGTCTCGCTCGTCACAGACAACACAGCGCCGTTAAGGCCCTGTCACACTGAGGCAACACGACAGAAACATCAACAAAACACGTTGTCCAACAGTCGGGCAACTTGTTGCTCGCTCCCCGTGTTGTCCGACAAACCTGTCACATCGCGGCAACAGCACGACAACATGGACGACAACTAAAATGTTGCCTCAGTATGACAGCTTTCGGCAACAAAAACAGCAGCAACTTGTGTTGGACAACGCGTGTTGCCCTGATCGCTGGCTGAGCGAATTTCGGGCCGGCAACACGACAACATAGATAGCTTCGATGGTAGAGCTAGTCCCCTATCAATAAAGTCTTACTCAAATAAAGGCTTGGAAAACGTTATTTAACAATAATTAGGGCTGGCGTGCAGCTAAAATATAGTTACGGAAAGCGATTTTCGAAATGGTCACAGCTACGGTCGTGAACGTTAAGACTGGTTTTGAAACTAGAACTGCCGAGAGACCAGCTCACATTACTGATAGTGAAATAAAATGGCATGCCTACTCACCCGCTCATAAAGTATAATAAAAAAATCCAGAAAACCAAAGATTAAAAAATCGAAGCATAAAACGACCGATCTTGATTGTTGATTCTTGGAACTTGGAAACAGCCGCTACCAGACACCTGATTTGTTTTCAAAGTACCCAGGACGTTTTTGGAGAATAAAGCGATCATATAGCAGGCGGTAGGCAAGTAGACAGCGTTGAAAAATATTTATTCCACCGTTTGTTATGAAGGCCGATCGTGTCGGTGTCGCAGTTTTGAAGCAGTCAGTTCAGCTCAACACCACGCTGCAAAAGACGCTTTGGGGTACTGCCGGTACTAACTCAATTTTACAGTAGAAATAGGAATTGCATGAAAGAACCGGACAGAAACACTTCATACGTGGGCGTAAATCCCGAACATATATCAGCGATGTCACTTTCCTCGGTTAGGGCTATCTGCTTTGTCAGCGAATGAAGAACATTTCGATAAGATAAAGAGCGGAAAATACTCCCCGTGTCAAGTTTTCTAATCACAGTCACTGGTTGAAGTCGTACCGTGGTAATACCCGGTGCTTCGAACGCACTAGCACTTTGTAGAGTCACATTTGCAGCGATTCCTCGCCGCACACGAACGAAGGTAAACAATCAAGATGCGGAGTGTTCCCCGCGTTGCCCCCGCCGTCAGCGCGGTGTGACAGGGTTGTCGGACAACAGATCGGGCAACACGGTTGCCGGGCGGCAGCAACGGGTTGCCCGACAGTTGTTGTGGCCTCGATGTGACAGGGTCGCCGGCAACACGACTTCCCCGTGTTGCCGGATAGAGTTGTCCAACTGTTGCCTCAGTGTGACACGGCCTTTAATGACCCACCGGATCATCAGATTGTTCGAGGATAGGTTTGCTCAGAGGGCAAGTATGTGTTTAAGCGAAGCACCTGATACAGTCCGTTGCGCACCCGAAGAAATAAATTAGCCTGGGCTTTTTTTTATGCGAAATAGTTGATCACGATAAAAGCCCTAGAGCCGTGTTAGATTAACTATCGCGGACGATATGAGAGCCATTCTTGCTTTTGTGATTTTTGTGTTGACCTCTGCAAGAGCTTTCGTCCAAACAAGAGATGAAACGCAAAGTTTAAGTCCCATTATTCACACTTTTCAACAAATTGAGAGAAAAACAAAGCTTATGGATAACGCGAAAAATGCTTATAAGTACTCGGGAATACATTATTTACAGTTGCCGAGTCCTCGGCAGACCGATAGCTTGTCTAGGTTTGGTTCTGAGCATGTGCAACTTGGAGCAGCTTGTGCCCGTTAGGCACTAGTTCCACACAGGCACGTAGCCAGGATTTTGTTTGGGGGGGGGGGGGGGGCGGCAACCCATAACAAAATGATGTGTGGGGGGCAGGGGGGAGAGAAGGGCCGTGCAAAATGGAGAATTTCGGGGGGGGGGGGGGGGGGAGCCCGGGCCCCATGCCCCCCCTCTGGCATCTGATTTAAATGAGAAGTGCAGAGATTAAAAGAAATCTTTATTGGACCAGTGAATTTTTTATCGGATCACCCTTTTTATTCATCATAATTGTTGTGAAGTTTGAACTTAAAGGGACACTGACGGGAGTATTTATGCTTTCAAGGTTTTTTATTTGTACATGACATATGAGAGCCCAACCACCCGTAACACAATTTGAGGCTTGAAATTCGTTTTCTTTCCGCTCGGAAACAGCAATCGAGAACTGGCCGATTTGAGTCGTACTCGTTCTCTTCTCCTTGGCCAGGTACCGTTTTCTATGATTCAGACACAACCACCAAAGGTAATCAAAGTCGTGGGTCATCGAAGACACACACTCTATACTTGAAAGGGATAGAAAATGTGATATCCATTTCTGTGGCTTCTAAAAGCCACAACAAAGTGTAAATACGTTGATTTAAAAAAGTTGTGCAGTTACTTGATTTCCGGTATCATACTCATTTATGTTCTTTCTTCATCCCTAGTCAGGTTCGGTTTCGGTATCGAGGAGATGCATTTTGTGACTTTATTAAAAATATACGTGGCACTGTAACAATATATTGATTGGGTAATCTTCTGACACTGAAATAAATCGCCTTGCAGGAAATTGAAAAAAATTTAGAGAGTGTCAATGTCCCTATAAGAAAGCGGAGCGAGTTGATTGTAAAAATTTTAGGAAAACAATTTTATTCGCAAAAGTGGTAACTTCGATTAACTTCGAAATTACGTTAGCAGATGGGACGACCCGGACAGCAACCTTGCCATTTGTAATGAGGGTTGTGCACGTGGACGCAACTTCCAAAGTTTCTGACACCGCACCTAAAGGAATAAAAGGAAACATATATTTTTTAAACCCTAACCCGAATATATATTTTAATGAATATAAGGTTAGGCTGCAAACGAGCTGGTGGTACTTAAGCAATTTAAAATAAACAAATAAACCGAAACTGCGAAAAAGAAAGGACACACAAACACAGTGGCCTCTGTGTTTGCCTGTCCTTTCTCTTTCACGGTGTTTGAGTGTTTTTTGTATACATTTTAAGCTCGCCCACTTTCTAGAGTTCTATAATGTGTGCAACGATTGCAATGATTTCCTGGAATTTATCACGACGCCAAAAGTTCTAAACGATTAGTCTGCCTAAGCTAACGAAAAGTGAAGTGCAGCTTTTGGTATTTAAATGTTGGACTTCTATAACCCCGATAGACGACAGACGACAAAAAAAGCACAAGGACAAGAAAAGACGTAAACGCTGGCGCCAGTGTTTACGTCTCTTCTCGTCCTTGTGTTTTTTCGGCGCCTCTCCTCGATATTGAACCAACTGGTCCGAATTACCATCTTCTATAGCCCATAGTATTTAGAAAAGGGCATGGATAAAATAACGTATTGTAAATATGAGTGGGTATAAACACCCCTACGAATTAAGCGTTCCTGTTAATAATGCATAAACATCCTTATTATTTATTAATGTCAATTTTGAATTTACTGTATAATATACTTTTACAAATATGAGTGTACGGTGTGGTTCTGCACCAAACTCAAAGCCCTTGACAAAATTTTTTTTTTTTTATAAATACCATTCTACTTATACATTAGTTATTGTGCTTATGTTGGAGCGTTTATATAGAAAGTTGATTTAACTTTTTGGGTTCACCGAAATATTGTGGTTAATTCCAAGACCGACTGCAAAATTTGTTTTCTGGCACGCCGTTGATGATAAAATATGTATTTCGAATGGTAAAATATTTAACTTATTTCTCCATCATCGTTAACTACCACCTGCGTATCACAGCTAAGATATCCAGTGAAAGAGGGCTTATGAGACGTGAATTGATTAGTTATGTAATTTATTCGTTAAGGCCTCTGAAAAAAAAAATGAATTTCCGTAGAACAAGAAATGTTTATTTCTTGAGGGAATAACACTTAAAACTGCTTACGTGATGGAATGCGAAAGCATTCATACACGCAGCGGATTCCTACAAACACAGCGCCGCGTCTTCCTATCGGACATGGCGCTCCGGCGGTGACATCACACTCCCCCACTGCGCATGTGCGGTAAAATCCGCCGGCTCCACGCCTTCCATGACGGTGCATCTGCGTTGCTGTGCTTTTCTTTGTGTTCTATTTTTTAGGCGACTCCGCTTTGACCTTGGGTGCGGCGCTGACTTCCGGGACGAAGCTTCTGATAAAACGCGTGACAGCCAATGGAACGCGTCGCAGCCATTTTAACTGCTGTTTTTCTAGATGCCCGTTTTTCGCGATAACAGCCAACGTCGGCTGTGCTCCATGGTAATGCATTGGCATTAAAAGGTAAGCAATGTGTAAACATCTATATCCGTTATGAGAATTCAATTTAATTAAATTGTTTATATTTATTGCAACAAAAACGTATATGCTAGTGCTGGTTCCAGCAAATCAGCGTTTTTTTTTTTGTTTTTTTTTTTTTGGTAACCTGAACGTGATTATAGAGAGGTCTTGCTGATGCAACAAAATTCAGGAGGAAAAAAGGGTTATCTTTTTTTTCTAGCCATTGTCACATCTTTGTTGATATTGACATCTTCGAAACGATTAACGTATTACAACAACACCAGCCGTCAATTTAATCAAGATATAAAAATTAGACATGCACGCGCATTATAATAAATTAACAGCTGCGGTATTGCCCGATGGCTTCCTGCAAACAGTGAGAATATAAATTACAAACCCTATAACTGTAATTGTTTTTGCTGTTACATTGCAACGCCAGAGTTCACATGGGTACTTAAATGTCATTATGTCCATATCTTCGACTGTTTGATTGCGGTACCTGCATGTACCTGCAGAATGAACGGTAAAAGAATGCGTTGAAATATTAATATACATCAAGAATCACATTATAACTACTCATATACCTCAGTGTTTCGTCACATATGTAAATTTAACTAGTTCATTTCAAGCTAAACAATCTCGGACAATCGCTAATTTAGTCTAAATATTCTCAACAAAAGAGAAAACTTCCATGACGGCAACACAATGTTGTCGCATCCCTCGGATGTGCGTGGTGCAGAAAAGGTCGTGTGTCATGAGCCTCGTCGCGAGCGGAGGAGAAGCGAAAGGGACAACCGCTTGTGGTGCTGCGTCTTGAATGTTCTCTTCGGAACGTTCTCGCGTTCTGCGAATTTCTTAGAAGCACCCTTAGTGGCACGGAAGGTGTTGTAAAATCCCCTTTGCAACTAGAAACGAACATGCGCTCGTTAGAAAGACGACGGTGCCAGGAAACAGCAATACAATGCCGGGAATGCTTTGACGACATGGCTTCAAAGGTTTTAGAAAAACGTAAAAAAGATACCCTTTGTCGCGGAGAAAATGTTGGCGTTTCCAGAATAGTCAACCCAGTAAGGTAATGTTGCAGTAAAGCAAATAAACGTTGCTGTGTCTGTTTTCTGCCTATTTTGTTAGGGTGAAATATTTTTGGAGTGTATAATGTTCTCTCGATGATCAGGCATAATACTTTGTTACCGCTTATATTCAAGCATCACGGACACAGCGCCTGATATTTATTTTTGTGGATATGAGCTCTTTGGCATCTTGTGAAATCAGCAAACACAATATGTTCGTGTAAATTGGAATATTATATATCAGATGTCTTTCCAAACAACTGGTCGCGCTTTCTAATGCTGACTTGCTCTGGCATTGGCGTTCTATTCCATGCCCCTAGAACCTCGTATCAGCATTCGAGTGTCTGTAGGTAGCGCTGTATCCGTCTCATAGCATAGCACAAAATGGCTAGGTGGCGTAAGCTACCGCCCGATCCAAAGGGCTCAGCCGGATTCATCCATCCATTCATCCATCCATCCAGCATTTATGGATTGCCCGCCGCGCCAGTTTGATGGGTGTAGGGGCGAACCAAGGAAGTAGGAAACCGGTTCCAAAGTACAACACTGTAACACGTGGAAAAGGTTAGTTGATTTATTCTAAGTCTTGAGCCTCTTTCGAGGGTTGTTTCTAAAACCACCCCGTTGTTGACCCTCGTGACTGTTAACTTAAGCGCAGTGCATGGTGCGTCTGCAACCTATTATTATCGCTCATCAGCCAATGAGATCGCGTGTTTAGCTCAGATGGATGCCGATCAGTGAATCACACTTATAGAAGCGTGAACATAATAACCTTTCAGTGACTCTAGCGGTGGCATCTTCGATTCTGAAAAAGCTTAGTGTCTTCACGAGATGTCGTATGACGCTCTCCAGATCCCAGTATGGTATTGGGAGGAAAATCATATTTCTATACCTTAAAGTTGCTCCCATGCAGAGTGCCCGTATCTGTCACAGTGCAAGTATCAATGGCAGAGCAAACCAATTTCATGTGCGGCTTGGCTTTGGAAATAGGAAGTAAAGAGGTGAACAGTGAAAAATTATCTGCACTATGTAGTTAAATTACCTGCTACTATTTTCAGATGAAACAAAAAAATATGGCAAAATTAACACTAAGCTCTCAACCTACGCTGTTAGAATTGATCAGCTGAGATTGAATAACGTGGTTTTATAATTTCTACATATTATAGGTAAGCTCTTTGATTTTGGATGTTTTTTTTACCCTCCGGCCTAATTGATTTTTGTTTTTCTCGATATGTGGTCATGCATCAAAATCGGCTCCTGGGGAAGTGACAAGCGGACTCATGAAACACCCGGAGTTCGTAACTTTACATTGCACTTCCAGTCCTCACTCGCATTGATTTATGACTTCACTCAATAGAGAAACAAATATTTCGCATTGTTCCCAAAGGTATCGGTTTTCTTTCCCAATCACATGTCGTGTAAGGCTAACACAAAAAAACAGTATTTTTCAACGTACAATGTAACGTAGTATATAAGAGCAAAACAAATCGGGAAAGAACGAATATGACTTGGGCGAGTTTTATTTACAGGAGGGACGAAACACCTTAGAGAAGAAGTATAAAAGTTTTGTTTTAGTTTTATTTTTTTTGGGTTTAAATTATAAAGTTAAATTAGTCAAAAAAGGACGAGTTTGCTAAGTACAAAGGGTGCGTCGGTTTTAACATGATTGTACCACCAGTGTTCTAAGCACCGAATAATATACAGATTGATACCCATCACAATAGTCTATAATGTTTTTAAACCTTACGAGCGATTTTTATTTGTTGTTTCAATTTTCCTTATTTGGTTTATAGATCTGGCTGATATTTTTCGTATTCCAACTACAAATTTTCGTCCCAGGTATTACGCAAAGAGTGCATTTAGGTCCTGAAGGTACTGTAATAGATAATTAAATTAAATAATATGTGAAATGATAATTAAATTAGGGACTATAATAATTTAAATGTGATTTAAATAACTAACGATTTGACACATTAAATCGCCCGAAGAACATTTCGAAGAGAATAAAAATTGTGTACTACCGTCTTCAAACGAAACTCCATAATTGTGGCGGTGATTAGCGTCTCCCATGATCAGTGACACACCTCCCAATGCGACCACGGCCAATAGAACAATTGTCCTCATTTCTGCTGCAAAAACGACCCTGTAAGTTATCGCAGTTATTAATGTATTTAACTGAAAGCCAGTCTTTTATTTGATTTTAGTTCGTTAAATCTGGTGTTCGACCATGAAAGTATTTTGGATTTCAGCCAAAACGTAAACAATATTTGCTTACACAAAAACGATCCTTGAACTCCACTATCGAGTCGACATCTAGAAATGTTCTTTTTTTTTCGCAAACAGCATCCGATTGGAATACACTACCTAGCCACATGGTTGATTGCAATAACGTTTCTTCATTCCTAGGCCAACTCTCATCGTTTGTGTAACTTGCTAAATGTTCGAGGTGTCACACTGTTGCTACTTTGCTGGTGCTTAAGTTTCTGTTTCGCATTTCGTGCACAAAGCAATCTTTTAGAATGTAATACTCCCAACGTGCTATTGACAGATGTGTTTGTTCAGCATTTGTGTTCCAGACCCTTTCGAAGTGTGACCACACTCTTGTTGAAATGCTTTTGTATGGCAGTTCATTGTAAAGAATTAATAAAAGTTTGTAAATAAATAACACAAAAATATATGTATTGAGCCAGCCGTCAAAAATCAGATACAACTACATCCGCACATAACGTGGACTTTATTTCGATTGAAGTATGTGCGTATAAAACTATGGCATAATGGAAAAAAAAGAGAAGCATCCGTAGAACCTCTAAAATAAATGCCATATAAGAACTCGTAGAAAAAAAAACATAAAATTAAGTAGTTTTATTTTCTAATTTTAAGATGTTAGAGACTATCTTCCTTATCATACACTACACGTATAATAAATATACAACATATTAAAAGTCGTTGGCCCTGCGTGCTTCATTTATTTATTTTATATATAAAAAATCTCAAAATTACTAACGACAGATGGACGAAAACAAACTCCGTTACTTGCCATCTGACAAAAAAAAGTATGAAAAACAGCCGTGGCCAAACATCAAATTGACCCGTGGGTTCTTCATTAAAAATGCTTATTCGATGTGATATGGCGTTTCATATAATATGACAGAAGATGACACATAGAGGGTCATATATCTTAATATGGTGAATCTAAGGTTTAGGAACAAATCATTGGCTACACCCTAAATACTAATAGAATTATGACATTATTTATCACAACATAGCTTTACGGCATCTTCACTCGCCTTAAATAGTACTGTACAGCCATAAAGGATATTGCCTTCTCTAGATTTAATGGCTTGCGCACTTCGTCAACTCAGTGACACCTCACTGTTCGGGCGATTCTTACTTTTCTTTTTTCAAGTGCGCGTGTTCGGTTTCAGATCAAGTATATTGCAAGTCATGTTTCCAGATCGGCAACAACAATTGCCAATGCCACAAGATGCAAAAGTAACAAAAAAAAGTATCTTCTGGACTATCATTTCAGAAGAATATCGCTAACACATTTATCCGCATATATTTAAAATTCATATAACTCAGCAGGGATTTAAAAGCCGCGACCCCAGTAACCATGGATGAATACTTCTCGGTTACGCAAGCTGCACGTGGTCATTTAGTCATTGCAATTTCGGAGTGCAAGTTGGTCTGTTTTGTTTGCAGGGGTTGTGGTGACATCAGAGAGCCGAGCTCTGATTGCTTCTGATTGGAAGATAGTGGGTAGACATGAAGGCAGCTTGCTTTAAGGTCTACTCACTATCCTTCTATCAGAGCCAATCAGAGCGCGGCGTCTTTCTGACGTCACCACAACCCCTGCAAAAGAAGGAGACGAACTTTCTCTCCACATTATCGTAGTACCCTCTGTTTTACATTAAGTCCGAGTACAGCCAGCACTAAAATCCGCAGGAGCCAATCAGACAGCGCTCATCGCCTTTGTGCGTGTGCTATCACTATTGAAAGCAATCACACACAAAAAGAAACCACGAGATCACTGCGAATTCAAAGTGTGCTTCTTGTCTTGCCGGTGAAAGCAAGCGCATCAAGACGACAAGCTTCGTAACGATGCACTTTTATCACTACAGCTTAATGTGAAACAAGGTACACTAACATGAAACGTTCATGCATGCGGAGCCACAGTGCAGCTGACAGGTGGCGATCTAACATTCTTATCTGCTGTGCTCGATAGAGTTTAACGAGAAGAAAACTTGAGATTCTTGTGGTTCAAAACATTTTGTGGTAAAGACATCTCGGTCAATATTAGGCGAAAAAAAAAACTCTTACCGGATTAGATGTTGCCTTGAACCAGCAGGGCTGTGTTGTGCGAACGCCGTGGAACGATACTAGTTATATAGGAGTTGTGTGAGCTTAAAATATTCGTCAAACAGGAAGAACAAACAACAGTTATAAAAAAAGATGTTGCGCGAAAGCAAATGACCTTTAATTAGTCCAAAAAATCTAAAGAGCACTCATACTTGTTTTTGAGTCGAAACAAGCAGCTGTTTGTTTAACTCTGCTATGCGTGAATTTCGAATATAACATTACAGACTTAAGTTTGCGACCTGAGAACACGTCAGTCCTCGCCAATTGTGGTCACCTTTGCAGTTCGTTTGATGCATGACCTTTCGAAGTCGCTATTCTTTGAGTGGATGAAACGCTCTGAACTTTTCCATCTTGTTTCATTCACAAACGATTGTGGTCGTTACATCATTCACTTTGTCACTGACCTTCGGCGCATCTGTGCAGTCGAGGGCTTGGAGCCTGCGGACCTGCGCTCGTTTTTTTAAAAACGTTTCGTAGATTTCAATTACTAGATGAGCAAAGTACCGTTCCCAATCACATCTAAAATAATGTATTGCTTTACTTGGTACGGTAGAAATTGCTTGCCCATTCCTTTGCCCGTATAATTGTCAACACAAATTTAAGGTGCTATTTCTAATATTTCAATTGAAAGTATGGCAATCGTGTTTGCGATATCCCATCATTGCGTTTCTTGTAGTATCTGTATAACAAATTTGTATGCACAAATAAAAATAATGTGCTATGCTTCTTATCAGTTGTGTTTAGTGTTGGGAAAAACAGACGCCAGCGGGCACAAGTTTGCAGAAATTCGACAACACTCCGGTTAGCACAGTTCTCTTGGCCCAAATATGTATTTGTTTGTGAATTTAGGGTCTTAATAAGCCCGAAAAAGTCCAGGTAGAACCAAACTTGACCATTTTTGGTCCGAGTATGGGTATCTTGGGCCTAAATCGTCAAGCAAATATCAAGTTTAATCTTCACTGCCTGGTAGTTTCCGGCACCCTTGTGCCTAATCGGCAAACAAGTGCCAAAGCTAGGCTTCAGTACTTATCATTTATGTTTTTTGTGGCAACTTTGGGACAAGATTGCCAGAAAAGCGCTAGAATTAGGCTGCATTGCTGGTTACTCGGTTGATGTGGGGCATCTTTTCCTGAAGTTTGGCACTTTGGAATTTTTGTGACAGGCCAAAGGAAAGCCATTAAAAGCAAAAGAACAGAATTTTCGAACTAAAGCTTGGAGCAAAACCATATTAGGCCCTAACAATTGGCAAACTTGGGCTAATTTAGGCGTTTATCTGGGCATAACAATTAGAACAACTGCACCTAAATGCTCTTTTTTTTTCAGAACGCAAACGCTTGTGTTTATGACGCTGTCTAAATACTAGTCAATTCTAAGACTGAGTATTGAAAAATGATAAATCCTAAAATGGAGCGCAAAGGTTTCACAAACATGTGACAAACGCGGCAAAGTAAAACAAAACGAAAGTGTAAGTCGTTAAACTTGCGACCCTCGCGACAACGCAATGTCTAAAGCTTCCGAGCAACGGAGATACAAGTAGAGCCCATCATCAGCCATTGTGCAAGCCTAGTTCTTTATACTCCGGTCAAGTTCTACACTCTTACCGAGGCAGGAACAGGTGGGAGCTATGAATTATTAGAAAATGAAGAGTGGGCTACTGGATGGATCACGGAATTATATAATTATTACAATCTTGCGCGGGTCGTTCTTGTTTAGTGGTTGTTTAGCCGCCTTTGTTTAGACTATACATGGTGTTCGCCCCACTTCTGGTCGCCAAGACCGGGGGAGAGAGATACTTCCGGTTCTCCCATGTTTCTTGTGTTTGGGTGGATGCGCGGCGACTCTTGGGTCACTAGCGAGAAACTGCGCGAAAGGTGCGCTTTAGAAATGCCCCAGTCCCGTGCTTTTAAGTTGACAATGCTCACCGGCACGAAGAAAATTTCGCAAATGAAGTTCTTTCAATTGTCTCGCGACTAAGGACGCCACTGACGCCGCCGAGCTTCGGTGATCGCTGCTAAGCAAACGGTGCTTACCTACTTCGTTGTGCTGCCGACAGATGGCGCAACCCGACAAACGCGAAGATTACTGACCCTAGCGAAGATGCCACGCCAGCGTCGCCATGACCGACTAACAATGACAGATGCAAACCGGGCCTTTAGGACAAGTGTAAATGCAGGGTGACATGGTGCTCTGGGAAAGAATCCTTGAATGCTAAAGCAAGGTGGTCAAAACAATAAAAAGTTGGATGTTATAGAGACTCGCGTAGCGTTGCAGGACGCGTGTTCGAACTCTCGGTGGATTGTGTGCTAAAACCATGACCCAGCTCGGCGACCCTATGCGAGGAAGCTCGGCGCGTAACTTCGGGACCTGGGGCAGGTAGGGGCCCCTCGCCGATGCCTTGCCGTTCACGAAGTAGTTGACACTCGGTTATATGGACCTGGTGGCTCGGATAGGTAGTCGTGACGATGCGCCCATGATAGCTTCGGAGGACTTGTGGGGGTACTGCTCTTTCTTTTCACCCAATGGATCTAGAAGGCATATCGGTTCAGTATAAGTAAAATCCAGGTGGTACCGGAGTCAGTTATTGGCTGTGAATCTTTTAAAGTAATCTATCACTGCGGGTCTTAAAAAACAGCAAAAAGAATGCCCAACCGGAAGCAGAATTAACATCGGAAGTGCGGCCATGTTTGTTTTTGGTTACCCCCGCACATTCTGCGAATACGAAAACGAAAGTAAAATTAAATATTATTCGACAGCTTAAAAAAAGGGGCGTGGCATATTACGTGCATAGGTTTGCTACCTGATACGTTATACGACTGTGTTATCGGCTAATGCGAAAATTTCATTGGCTGCGGAGACATAATGAGATGGTTGGGACTTTCCACGCCACAACACAAATGAAAATTGTAAATGGTACTCTCAACATAATTACATCTAAATAGTGAATTATTACAACAAACTCATTACTTCAAGCAAATTACTACCGAAGTCAGCTTGCAGGGTAGTGCAAGAATATAGTATTATCAAATTTTCTATATGAAATGTTGAATAAATATTAAGAGCCCTACCGAACACTCTTAATCAAAGGCATTTCTCAAGAGAAGAAACTGTACACAATATAATAAATAATGGAAACTTGCTTCAAAATTAGATCCACGGGGATTTATGCAGTCAAAAAAAAAATATACAGGTTAAAATACATAAGCTGCACATTAAAGTTGGTTATTTTTTCCCTTTGTATATATATATATATATATATATATATATATATATATAAATATATATATATATATATATATATATATATTGCAGATTAGGAGGCGGTCCAAGAAAGGAGTTTGTAGGTCAATAATTTGGTTCATATTCTTTATTAACGTAACACGCACTCAAAATGCCGATGGTGTGGCATTTTATTTGAAATCCAACATGGTCAAAGTTGGCTTTTTAAGTTGGCTCAAAAGAAAAAGCGTGTGATTGTGCGGTCTTTGGCATTAGCGGAACCGATTCTAAACTAGAAAAAAAAAACTTAAAGTAAGAGCAATTCGGGAGAGCAAAAATAAATTGCTACGCAGCAGTATTTTTCAATTCTCCATTAAATTTCGTTCTTGACTTTCGTCGTCCTTTACAATGGGCTGTAAATTCTTATTTAGGTGTCAAGGAATGGTTTTCGATTAGTCTGAACTTAATTTTATATAATCGCAGGCTTACAAATCACAGCCTGCCTCAAATTTGGAGTGCTATAGAAATCAAACGGTTCAGTACTATGCCGCAAAGCAACTATCAGTGGCTAGCTCTATAAAATTAAAGGGCAATATCTTGCGTCTTTTGAGCTCTTTATCGGAAAGAAATTATCGTGTTAATTCTCAGATTATTCTTAAGCCATTGGATGAAAGTGTTACGGGGTACAAACTTTATTTCGGCAATTTCGTAGACAATGTGCGAAAATGCGAAATCTTACATATTAATTTTTTTTGCCTTTGATCATAGTTTGGAATATACTTCTTATTCTGAGAAGGATAGAGCAGGGTAGTGGAAGCTTTTTTTTGACATGCATTAATGGTCATTCTGCTAGTAACGTTGTGACGACGTAAGCACATTCTACAGCCAGAGGCTTGGAGAATTTAATTGTGTGAAGAATAAAAAAAATAAAAAAAAAATATATATATATATATATATATATATATTTATTGTGTTATTTTCGACCATAACAACTGTCATATAACAGCCTCAAATACGAAAAAAACACTCTTTTTTAAAATAATTTTTTATATATCTAGTTGTAACTTGCAAAAACATGTGGTCCATAATATAGTTGATAAGTGCATTACCAACATGAAAATACACCCCCATAAAAACCTTTCATTCGTAGCTATGAAATGATAGTTTCTCTGGGACATGACGCTAATTGCTTATGTAGCTGTCGCAATGTGAATTCGAGGCAAACTTGCTGTAGGTTGCAAGTTTGTGATTTTGTAAAAAAAAAATCAACATTAAATTGAAATGTTTCTGTTTAGAAATTGTTCGTAATCTTTCCGGATACATAAATAAACATAAGCAGTATGACCGAAGTTTTAACTTGTATTAAAAAGACAAAGTGGAGTGAAATAGAATTGACATTTTGAAACATTCCACAGCGTGGCGCCTTACATGTCTCTAATCTGAAAGGCTATTTTGTTCATCTTATATACCTGGTCAGGTCATACTATTTCAAAGCGAATTTCTGAAAACAGCACACTCAAACTACTCAGTATATGTTTTTTTTCATCGTACTTCTAGATATCCATGGCATTCCTATTTGTATTTTACGCTATGTTTACCTTGACTTTATGAACTAAATTAGTATGGATAAAAATTCAGTACACGAAATCGTCAGAAAACTGAGCGTTTAGATTGCAGATCTATGATCGAAACATCTAAACGCGAAATTTGCATTTCAATTTTTTTTTCTAACGAGACACACGGACAGTAACGCTTTCTCATAGTTACAGGTATTTCAGACATTCGATATATGCTATAATGCATGCGTATTTATACATCCGATATTCAATTTCAACATTGCCAGTACAGTCGTACTCTACCGGGCAAATTGGACTTTTAGGGCAAACATGTGGTACGCTTTTTTAACAAAGCTAGCCTCTTGCTGTTAGACGCGTATAAAATTGATTTTGACTTTTCCATTTTTGATAGCCCTTTGGGGACAGCAAATAATACATTTTATTCATGCTGCTTGCACCTTTGAAGCTGTTAAAAAGGAGAGAAATATACCTAACCAAATCAAAACTCATTTCAAAGAAAAATTATAAAAATCAACAGAGTAAATGGGATAGTACAAGGCTCTCTTCTAAAAAAATATTACATATTGACTGAGAAGAACCTACATTTTTGGTAAGTTGCATTTCAGTGAATTCAAAGCGTGTTATTCTGTCAAAATAAAAAGCTGCATTCGTTCCTGCGCTCAGTGTCACAATTTTACCGATAATGATTATATTTTATTTATTTTTGGTCGGAACCCTAACACGGAAGAAAACCCTTCGAGTGAATAAGTCCAAATGTGAGATAGAACGAAACCCATCTGTAAGTTTTGAAGCAGAATAAAATATAGAGTCTAACTGGTGAACTTTCAGTATTCTGGAAAGCCAACGCTGAACAAAAATATCAACGAAACACAGAAATGTACAAAACTCAACTATGACGCATATTTTCCTTTTCTGGTTTACACACTCTACGACGGCTTAATACCCAAGTGAAAAATGCCGAATTACTGCGTTGTTCAGGCATGCGTTGACCCTGATGCTTCGAAAAGGTGAGCTATTGCGCATGCTCAGAACACGTTCCACAGTCTCGTAAACAAAGATGGCAGTGCGCAGAAGGCGAGTATTGAATGGCCTATATAAGAAAGACCCGCAACGGAGCTCAGTCACGCGAAGTCGGTCATAATAGCATCAAACCTCCAAAGATGTTCTTTTTTGTTCACAGCTCTGGATTCCCACGATGAGGACAGTTAATTACTCTGTCTGAGGTACAGGTAAAACGGCTGTTGTACCATAATCAAATCATTCAAAAAGAAACCTTCCGTTATCCTCTTCTAGAACACCTTGATAATGATATCATCCTACAATAAGACAACTGTATTCACACATAAGCTTAATATTGTACTAAAGACTAATCCCTGGTTGACTGGGTGCATAGTTTTCTTTCCCTTCGTTCACAGTGTGCCACTTTCAATTCATTTAATCGTTCGGAAGCAAATTTGTCATCGGGTGGGTCGCAAACTGTTTGGAGCTCTTCCTTTTTTTATTTACATCGATGATTTTTCACGTATGATTACCACTAAAATACGTCTACAAACAGCCGATTGTTTTTTATATCAAAGGTCATCTCGGGGTCCTGTTTTCTTAACAATTCCCTTCCCAGCTTCTGTGAGTGGTGCAACGCCTGGCAAATGTCAATAACTTTTCGCAAAGGCCCTTTTATGTCATTTTCTAGGCGCTCATTAACATCCAAATCTCTCTAGTCAGCCACTTTTTCTTCTTTTAAAGGGAATTTAAATGTCCCTTTTGCGTCTTCTTTTTACGCCTGATGTGACCTGATAGATCACTTTGACTTCGCATGTAACGATGAACGGACTCGGATACCGGCTGCGTACTTTACGCTGAGTCCTACAACATACAGAGCTTCTGATATTACAAACTATAAAACGACCAGTCTTTGAATATGTTTCTTTCGTTGGAACCCGTAAAAAACGTTTGATATCAACAAGCTTGAAGCTATTCAGAAGAAAGCGGTACGTTTTATTTGTCAACGGTATGCCAGATATTTCACACTCTAATCTTTCTGCTTTAAACTTTTCCCCACTTTCCACGCATAATAGACCGGTGGTGTTGATTGATCTGAGGTTTTTCTCACTGGCGGTGGAAAAGTTTAACGGGCGTAGTGAACCGCATGCTTGAAAACCTTACACAGTTGAATTAACTAATTACATTTTGCATCATTAAAATGTATCTGAATTTTGCAAAAGCACCTTCTTGAAGAAGATGCCGCCAACTAAATATTTCACATTTTCATCCACGTGCCAATATGTGTAGATATTTTTTCTTATGCCATTATATTTGGAATTAGTTGCCGGGTGATGTTCGTTTATTACCATTGCGTGAATTGTTGTCCACCATTGGTGACTATTGCTGATGTTTGACATTTATTACTTGTACATTGATTCATTGTGTTCAATGTTTTGTACAATTCATTTCTCACTTCCCGAATCGACCAACAAAAACTGGAATATATAAAAAAAAATATATATATATTTTTTTTAAATATGCACTTGCTGTCAGTACTTCGCGATGACGCAAGTCTTAGCCTATGTTTGACTCTCGACATAAGGAAAGAATAATATAAAAAGAGGAAAATTAAATGTGACTAATTTTGTGTTATACGTGTACGTGAAGGTGAATAGTTTTATAAAAACTAAAATTAAAATGTCACAATGAAAAATATTTCCGGTTACCCTTATACGTTGCTGACGCACGACAGAAAAGAGATAAAGTCAAACGTCAGGCTAGATGTCTCAAAAAATTATTGTTTTGAAATCTTGTGAAAGGTCAAAATTTAGTTCGTCTTCCCACGTAGTACCAACAGCTAACATATAAATACCCCGCTCTTGTTTGTTCTCGACAGGCACAAGCATAGACCGGCGCATCGTGAACGTGACGGTAATATCATCAGATTCTACATAACTACCTCTTTTGCGAACTTTATTTTTTTAAATTTTATTGAAGCCTAATATTGGTGCATTGATACTGAGTTCTACTATAGAGGTTTGTAATACGAAAAGCCTAAAGTATATTAGCCTTATCGCAGTGGCGAAGCCAGGAGCATTTTCGGGGAAAGAGGGGGTTCGCTGGGACTTTCACTGTGACTTAGTGTTTGTGTGTGTGTGTGTGGGGGGGGGGGAGGGCATACATATGCTTAAGGGGTCAACTACATATAAAGGGGGCTGGGCCTTCGTAAGCTCCCCCTTCCCCCATGGCCGCGCCCTACCTTGAACGTTTGCTCTATAAATGCTAATGAGTCTAACAACCGAAAGTTAATTACGAACGAACTATGCACAAATACCTGTGCTCCAATACCTGAATTTCTTATTTAGTTTTATTTCATGCCTTTAAGTTATGATAACAGTCAGATGCGTTCAATGGTATTAACCTTGCATTTGCCACAAATGCAAATAAATGTGATAAATCATACGATAAATAGTCTGCCTACTTTATTTGAGATTATGCTTATCGAGTAGTGAACGCATAGTACCAAAAGTAAACTCTAGAAATTACAGTAAAGCCAACATCTTGAAGTCAGTTTCACTGTCTTCTTCATAGAGAAAGCTGATAAAACCAGTAAGACAATCTTTGCTTTTTGTGCTATACGCTGAAAATATTTTTAACAATTGCCTAATATTCTCACATAAAAATAACCCGGCGTATAGCTGGGCACATCATAGTCAAAATAAATGTGCAAGGTGATTTGAAACGTAATATTAGCATAGAAATACACTTCCTGATATCCAGTATCAATTCATTTACAGATTATCAAGTGGGCACAATGAATATTCTGATTGTTTGCATCGTGATAGCCAACGTAGTAATATCCCAAGGTAATGTGGAGGAAGATGGAAGATCCAATAATGAAATTCAAGAACGATCACTTCTAGTATTTGACCGTAAGTTTTATTGTTATGAAAATATACGAAATTGGACAATGTAGTAGACGTTTGTAACTCCTAACTTGGACGCCCTCAGCGCAATATTGAAACCCCGAGGCATCTTAATTCTCTTCTTTAATTTAGATGAATGTGAACTTAAACGACCATTCCAAAAGTTTCACCTGCCAGCGAGTGCTTTCAACGGAGAAACTAAACTTAGTGATTAATCGAATATGTATGACTGACCTCATGGGAAACGTTACTCATATGTGACGGTCAAATCTACCTCACAAGTTTTACGGGAATGTAATACGCACCTGCCTCAGAAGTACGTTTACAGTCGTAGGGTTCGCCTATCTTTAAAAGCAGTAATGGTGTAAATATAAGCGTACCCTTACAAAATTAAAAATAATGCGATGATCGGATATTTACAATGATCCCGTATTTGACGTATCCTGAATTGGCAATTACTTCTGTGTATAATGAGATTTCATTTTCTTAATAACTCGAATGTTTTACAACTAGATAACGAGTGCAGATACCTCGGCCACACAATGGGAAACGGAGGAGTAATAACTCTGCAAAATCCCTGTGTCAAATGGACTTGCCTGGCCAATCAGACTCAGCTGCTAGTTCAAGGGTGAGTTGACGTAATGTTCATACCGAGCGAGCTAAATGAATCTAAAACTTTATTAGTAAATCTTAAAAATCATATCACTGCGTTACTTTCGTCGCGAAACAGATGTTGTGAAGTACGAGCTATACAGTTTGCTCACCGCGCTTCATTTATTATATTTACTATCATTTTCTAACCTCACAAACGTGCGGTTACGAGGTGGATTAATATTGCGATGATATGAAGGGAATAACGCCCCTCAGTAAAAAGTTTGGGAAACAAAATGCAATCTATTTACTTGGGATTTAAGAGGAAAGCCTTTTACAAGTAAACGTGAAATGTCCTGACTGCGGCCCATTGAAGCGCTTAATTGGACAAAAAAAGGAACGTGCGAAAATTTCCAAAAATTTAATTTTACGGCTTTTTTGTGTTTGCTAAACGAACTTCCCTAATAACACACTATGGCATTTCTGTAGTCAGAAGCCCATTTGGATATTAATATGTTTTTTTGTGATTTTATACAAAGCATGTCATTCAAAATTAAAATTAACGCATCATAAAATTAAGTACGACTGTTCAAGAATCAGCCACTTATGCCAGATAGCAAACCTCTGCTCTTTGATTGCACACTGCCCGACAAAGTTAATGTGAACACGTCATCGACGCTTCTTTACAAAACAGAATGAATAACTGGGCGGGTTTGAACGTGTTCATGTTGCTACAGCACAAGTTTGCACGGATGAAACGAAGAACCGGAGAGCACGAACGTTCTTTACATAGAGTTTCTAAGGAAAAGGAAGAAGTCGAAAAATATTTTTTTAAACGTTTCTTGCTGTGTTTGAGTTAATGTTTCATTCTTCTTTTTTACGTTTTGTTCATTTTCACATCTGTATATTTTCCTCTTATTTACTTTGCGAGTTTTAATTGCAGATATTCAATTATAAAAACAAGAAAACCAGGAAAAACCGTCGATTTCCCGTTCGTGCTAACACTCGCGCTGCATACATTATCTGGCACAGAATGAATCATTCCACTTCTTAGTTCTTTGGATGCCTTTTGAGTTTTCGGCAGATTTGTATTTCTCTTACGCCATGGCATGAGTGCAGCTGTCGATATTAGAGCGACGTTTCACGCATAAATAAGTAGAAAATATTTCAATTCCACACATGAAATGTACTTAGCCTGTTAGTCGCGCGGTTATGTTTAATGTTAATAGATTTACGCGCTTTAACGGTTGCTTCACAGCTGTAAACTCGCGTAAAAGCTGTTTACTCTTACATATTCCACCATCACTTATCAACAAACCATTTCTGATAAAGAACTGTCTGTTTATCAAGAATGGACAACCACCTATGACTTTATTATCACAAACATTCTAATGACAGTAGTATGTAATGTTTCCACATTTAGAAGATCTAAGGACATAAACTATAGAATAACGAGTAGGGCCAAAGCAATTTAATGTTTTCTGACATGTTATCAGGTGCTGAGCCCGTGCCCTGTGGAGCTGCTTCTTGGGGTTCCAGGTTCAAGTTGCAGCCGGAGGTCTGCCACCTTATGAAGTTCATCTGGTTATCTGACGTTCTTCTTGTTGAACGAGAAAGTGCAAAAAGCTTAAATAAAATATTTAAGAAAATCTAGTACACGTTTCTGTATTCTTTTATTGGGCCAGCTGGGGAATTTTATATTTGAAGGCGAATAAAAATTCAAATTCTATAATAAGAAAATTCTAGACTGGGAACAAATATAATAACGAACAAGTGCGTGCTTGTTCGGTATTGTATGTGTTCCCAGTCTCGGGTTTTTCATATGAAATTACTTCACCAGCTTGTCTGCATATTCCCGCAAATTTCAAAGTGGGATTTCTCTAATATCGTGCTTAACTGGTGTAGCAATAAATGTTAGTATACCATGCTAACCACAAAATGATGATATCGCTTCAGAAAGACTTCGTTCGCATGCAGATGGACAAAATCTTTATGGAGCGTTTGCTGGATGGCATGAATTAGCAGTGCAGTGCTGCTCAGAGTACACCTTTATGCAAAGATTCAAGGGTAGTGTTCCGGCGCAGATCGAAGCTGTCACCACATTCTAAGGTGGCGCTGTCATTGTCGCTCACTAGGTACACCACATGCCTGTTGACTGTGGTGTTTCATTTTTGCCACCACTATAGCTTCGACTGCCGCTCCCACTTGGAGCAGCAGTCAGAATTTGAGTTTCAGGATTCTGTTTGTTGAAATTTTGAGAACCATAGGACTTGACCGTCCTTTTTCAAACGTGAAAACAATATTGTGATAAGTAAGAACTTGGGAATGGCTCCATTAAAGTAGTTATCTGCGACCTCAGTTATTGTGATCACTTCTACATGCCTCGCAAGTGACGTCCCTCTAGGGAAGGACAGGGCCTCGCACCATACTTGTGTTTGACTTCACACCAAGGCGTAGGTGCTGCTAACTTCCCGGACACGAGCTGACATGCGCCACATTTTCAACAAAGGTGCAGTCAGCACGGAGTGAAACCCGAACGCCGGAACGCGTGGCCATCGACACAGGCTGCTCCACCTGGAGGGCCTCTGAGAACTAATGAAAATGCGCCAGGCGGCGAGGTTGCGGGTCCTACTAATGGTGAATTCCGCTCGCAGATCTCGAGCGCTCCAAAAGCGCTCCATTTGGAGCGCGCATATTCCGCTCGCAGATCTGGCTCAAGTTGGTCATCTTCCGCTCGTAGATCTCTGGCAGCGTCCGCTCCACGGAGCGCCCCAAACTCCGCCGAACTTGCTCTGCGAGGTTTCACAGATCTCTCCGGAAGTTGACAGAGCGGCCCCCTTGATTTCCGTCTAAATCGGCGGTGCGCATGCGCGGCGAGGTTGGAGAGATCGGCGGGCCGGTCGGGTCGTGGAGTTGCATCTGTTCGGGTGCGTCGGTTGTTTACTCTGGATTGTGACGGCTCGAACGCTTCTACTTCGCATAGATCAGGGATAAAAAGCCGGGAATGTGGAGCGTGGCAAATCGTAAGCGCTGACTCTGTGATCGCGAGAGGAAGAACGAGAAAAGGAACGACAGAAAAGCCGGAGGCAGACGCAAGGTTAGGCCTATTCATTCTGCAGCCAGTGATTGTTTACCTTCTTGCACTGCATTCCGTCGGCGTTTTCCCGTGAAATAAAGCAAGAAGTGGTCAGGCAACGACCGCGCAAGTGATGGTTTGTTACCTCTGTGTTTATTAAAGTCGTACTACAAATCTGAACTCCACCGCTGGCAGTCGCTGTCCGTGCCCCGCCACTTCGAGGCGGCCGAAAGGTATGTGACGGTGCCGAACGCGGACGTCTTCGTTATTCGTGACATGGGCGCCGTGGTACGTGGTACCTATAATTTCGCCCGGTCTGTGTCGCGTGTTACTTCTGCAGCTAAGCAGTGACAGTCGTCACTGGTCGTTGGAAAGATCAGCCGGCTGAGGCCTTGGTGGGACTGGTCAAGTTCGAGCAGCGGCCATTTTGTACGGCGGAGGGAGAAGGGGTGGGAAGGGGTGTGGGGGAGGTCGCTCCAAAAATGCAAGTTTATTTTTCCCTCGTCGATTCGGAGCGGGTCCCACGGAGCGGAATTTTGCCTCCCTCGCGGATTTTGGAAAGCGCTCCAGATCTACGCGTGGAATTCACCATAAGATGTGCTCGACCCTCGCGCGGCGCGTCTGGGACTTCCGCGTTTCGCCGGTGGCGCGCTGTAAGCGCCGTCACTCGGGGTGCTTTTGTGTCGCCGCACTGTCACCCGGCCGACAGCTGCGGCTTGCGCGTGGCGCGAGAAGGTCGATGCTAGGAGCAGCAGAAAGCTACTTGCGCGCGCGCCAGTGGACCACGCCCTTGGGGTCTTCTCCTCCTGGCGTGCACAGTTTTTATTCAATAAAAGTTTGGTTGTGGCTAGTTGGCTCATATCGATTAAAATGTTAAAATGCGCGAACGAAGAGGACGAAAAAGACACACGGACGACACGGACAGTTTTTATTGTTTGTTATACGTATCGCAATTTTATAATCAGCAGTACTTATAGCAAAACAGCGCGACATAACGAGTCAGAAAAACAAGTTGGGACTCACAATTGGGTGCTGAGACCCAATTGAAGGTTGCTACTACAAATATTTGACGTATAATATATGAGCACATACAAACGTTCATTCCCAGGGCTCGTCCATTAACCTCTCTTGCTCTCCAGGCTCGTATGCATCGCTGCGAACGCCATAACGCAGGCCTACTAACTCGCGCACTCGGCAAACATTTTCCTTGATTGCAGTGACTTGAGCATTGAACAATACGTCTCTTAGTGCTGATTCTGGTCCAATCTGTCCAGCGCACTTATTATTTATCACTTTTTGTATCGAATGCCCAGCGATATGTCTTCAGCGCTGTCATTAATTATCGCTTTGTGTATAGCAAGGGCGAAATAAAAATTGAAACATTTCGTGCACAAAAGACCCGTAGTGCTTGCTGACGTGTCACCGGAACCACGCGGAGGCTCCGGTGGACGACGCGGAATACGCGGTTCCTGAGAAATAGTGAAACGTCATGAACGCAAAATAAAATTTGTTTATTGGCATAAACATCCTCTTTATGAAAAAAAAAAAAAGCGCTGCAACCGACCGACGCGGAGGCCTTGGCTTTTGTAAGCAATGCGCATGTTTTCGTGCAAGGTTATCAGTCGATGCTTAAGAAAAGCGAGGAATTGCTCGCTGACGCGCTCTTTGGTAACCACCGATATGCCAGGCGTATCAATTCCGGAGTGGAATATATGCATCACCCTGTCTGAGCAGGACCTATCGCAAAGAGCTATAGCCAGGTTAAGCGGCCGCCCGGTGTCGGCCGGGTGACAGTGCGGCGACACAGAAGGACCCCGAGTAACGGCGCTTACAGCGGGCCTCCGGTGAAACCCGGAAGGGGCAGACGCGCCGCGCGAGGGTCGAGCACATCTTAGTAGGGCCCACACTCTCGCACCCCGGAGCATTTTCATTAGTTCTCTGGGGCCCTCCAGGTGGAGCAGCCTGTGTCGATGGCCACGCGTTCCGGCGTTCTGCCATAGAGTAATATAGTAAACGTAAAGAGAGGACACAGGAGCCGATTCGCGGCCCAGATAGTGCGTTTAATACCCTCCCCTACGTGGCGCTTTTCTGCAATTTGGTTAAAATTAATTAAAACTCTTTCTGTGAAAAGCATTTATTTTTTAAATAGCAGTGTTTTAACATTATTTAAAGAACTTAAAACGACTAAATAGTTTAAATCAAATACATCCAAAAACCACGTGATGAATGGCGCCTGCCATGGCCTGCGTGCCTGCACGCCGTCGCCTCTGCATCATTTTGCATGGCCTCTGCTCGTCCCTGCGTCGTTCGTCTGTGCCGTGCGTGCCGTCCATCTGTGCTTTCTGCTGCATCATGTTCGGTCGACTTTGCATCAATCAAGGTGACGCATGACCGCCCACGTGCTCGCATGCTCGGCGTGAATTCGTGGAGCCGATCGGTTCGAGCTTCTCGCGCTGTTGTTTCTGCCGGGCTGTCAGGCTGCACTTGAACGTGTGTGCACGTTGATATTCGATGAGATTGTCTTAAAAAAAGAATTTAAGTTACGACCCTGCACATGACATTGTCTATGGGTTTACAGATGACGGTGTTGAACGAACCTCTAACATTGCAGATAGAGCCTTGGTTGTTATGCTGTCTGAAATTTCCAGGAGGTGCGTTTAGCCCCTTGCATACACTGTTGTGCACACTCCAACAACGTCTTCTGTTCGACACAGTCTCCTCATTTCTCTCATTCGGGAGCTTAAGACTGTTGGCTTCACAGTAAAGGCTGTGGTCTGTGGTTAGGGGGCTTGAAACGTAAGCTTGGTCTGTGTGTTGATAAGCCATTTTTTGAAGTTGACAACGAACACGTTTACTTTGTCTTTGATGTTCCGCACCTTCCCAAAACAACCAAGAGCAATCTTTAAGCCCACAAACTTTGCATTGGAAATGAGGTCATTGAGTGGTCTTCTATTGTTGAACTTTATTGTTCTGTCCATGAGATAAACTTGCAATTGGCTCGGAAACTTACTGAGAGACACATTTTTTCAAGAACCTTTCTGTAACATGGAAGAAAATTGTGCCCCACAGGTACTGAGTGCCTCACTCTTTCTTGCAATCATATCCCTTGTTTATGCCAAGGAACTTCCTGAGGCAGCCATGGCTACAGCCTATTTCTGTGATAGGATGTGCATACATTTTGATTGTCTAAATAGCTAAAGAAATTCAAGAAGACAGGGCAGAAGTTGCGTCATGCCATTCTGAAGGGAGAATCTGAAATACTTGATTTTCTCCACCAGTAACTCGGATGGGTTTCAACATGGCAGTTCCAAAGTAGGAGGCCGCCATAAGCCATCATTGGGTGGCAAGTTACTATAAAAAGTGCCCTCACGCTCTGGGATGAGTTTTCAAGCAGCCATGACTTTAAGTTCTTACTTACACGACGCCTGCAGCAAGACACACTTGAGAACGTTTTTGGAGCTATATGCGACAAATGCTGGGCTGCAACACAAACCCAAATGTGCATCAGTTCACCTCCAGGACTAAAACACCTCTCGATAAAGAAACTGTTC